TTATAAATCGAATTATTCTTTTAAACGCTGTCAGCGAAAATAAACCATCGGTAATCCGATTTTATAGATGTTTTTTAATAACATTTGTTCTAAGAGTGTTCAAATTACCTCAATATTGGCTATTATTTATCGACCAACGTGAAAGTTATATATTAAACTGACTATTAATTAATTGATTTATAAACCAACAATGTGTTAGCAAAATTTTTTTTTTCATTTTATGCTGTGCCCCCTAAAAATATTGAGTAATAATGTGATTTGTGCATTTAAATATAAACCAATTTATGACGCAGTAATCACAGCTCACGAAATTAATAAAACATGTTGTGTAAGTCTCTCTAATTAATGTAATTAATAATTCATACTCATTTTGCGCAGTAAATATTTAACAGTATTTTAATTCTTTGACATTTTAATACTACTTGAAAAAAGTACGAAAATTGTTGTTATAATATGTAGAATAGTTAAATATTATAAATATGTATTATCTTTTCAAATAAGAAGTTGATTGTAATTTAAATCGGTATTATTAAATTTGCAATTTGCATCGTGTGTTCTGTACATTTTATTTTACAAACTGAACTCGTAAACGTTTTATTATAATTATTATTTTATTATACCCATGACTAATAAGAATTAATTTTAAATAAGTACGCATGTTTGGGGGCTTTTGCAACCTTCGACACCACCACCGAACCATCGCTGACCCAGGAGTCTTCAAACTTAAGTTTGCTAAAGTGTGATCAAACATTTGAGCCGGACCCTGTAAGTTCCTGTTCGTAGTTCGTACTTCTTCCACTTTTTGTACTCTTGTTCGGAAATCTGAGACAAGAGTTAAAAAAAAAAGCGCGTATTGGGTTGTGATGCTATCGCATGGTGCACGCGCACCGAAATATTAATGATAACAGCTCTCGCAATCACGGTTAAATTCTGTTTTTAGCGTACAGTAATATTATTATAATATATAATATTATATTACTCTATGGTTTTTAAACGCTCTTGGACTGTTGCTCTGTTGCAGTATCGTTCGGCGGAAGAGATATGTCTCTGTGGGTGACCGGCAAATAGAGTATGCCATTGTTATCATCGTAGGTAGGCAAAACAAAAAAATAAATAAATAAAACGCCCCAAAAAAAAACGACCGTTATTCAGTGTGTTCATAAGTTTGGTCATAATTACTGAAACATATTTCAGTCCAAGTTAAAGTCATCGTCTCAGTGTCACAAAGTTCCATAAATCCCCGTATACTAGTCTTAGGATGGTGACGCTGAGACATTTACCATCATTGTGTTGCCCGGTGGCCATTGCCTTCCTGGAAATGTCATCGGCACCAACTCGTTATCCATCGTTTGGTCCGTATTCATGTGTACACGCAAAGTTTGTGAACTCATCGTCCGTTTACAGCCTTTTTTTTGTAAAACCACGTTTTCGTTCGCTTTTGTGCTGTGCTGGTATTTTGGTAAGTGTCGTTTTACGCAGTTCATTACCATTTTGTTTGTTATTATATAGTTCCCCTTGTTTCAGCGACCATTGTGAATAACGTGGCTTAACTCATTGTCATCGACCAGCTCTACAGCCATGTGAATTTCATCGTGAACAAGTGTTGATATTCGAGTTCGTGTGCGGGATCAATTTTATACCTTTTTGATGTATTCATTCTCGTGTAATTACTGCGTTCAACGATTCGATTAAATATCGTAAAAAAAAAAAAAAAATCTCCAGATTAATTACGGTAAATAACTAAAGATTTCTATGATAGCCTTAGGATATTCATTTAAATAAAATAATAGATACTTTTATCTATTTTTAATTCTTATTATTTGTATCTGGTTAAATCAAAACACTTTAAATAATAGTAAAAATTGTTAAACACCTGTGCGTCCGAGCTGTCTCGTTCGGGCATCGTAGAACATAGGTGCCGTGACGAATTACAAAGCTAGTGAAGTGTGTGTTCGTGCACTCATGAGAATGCGCATAACTGTGGCCCCAAATTGGAAAATGTACATCGGTACCGCGTAAGGAGGCACGTCATCTTTTTTCTGTTTCACGCAAGTATTCCTCAGAACAGTGATCGATAGGAATTCAAGATAAGTTTCGGTTCGATTCTCGGTCAGGTTTTTTGTGATTTTTTTAATTTTAATTTTTTTTTTTTTTTTTTTTTGTCACGCCCATTTATTTATTTTAATTACCTTAGTTTTCTCACTTAAAACCGACTAATACTTACATGTGACTATGTTGTAAATGGCGGATTACATCCCATGCACCAGGGATGTGAGCAATACAATAATTTAAACACAATATACATGTTTGCGGGCATGCGACCATTGAACCACAGTCACGAACGAGGATACAAGTTTGCATCGTAGGACGAAAACCACATTAAATTACAATTGATGGTAGTAAGTAAACACCCTAAAACGTGGTAACGAATAAATGTAAGGCAATGAAGTTCTGTAGAACAACACTTATCAAACATCAAAAAAAAAAAGAAAAACGTGGTTTAAACAAAAAATGGCTATAGTAATAATAATACACGTGAACGAATTCGAGGTACACAAAACGAAAAACGACAAGATACGAAAGATTAATTGTACATATGACGATAATGGATTTACGACGAAAGCTACGGCCCGCGGATACCATAATGATGATAAAGATGCCTTAGTGCCACCATGAAAAGAAGAGTTATGATCTCAGTGCCTTATGACTCTTAACTATAAGAACAATTGATAATTATGAAGAAAACACGAAAAAACAGATATTTCCGCGCAATAATGACAGTGCAACTACGTTATTGGCCGATCACACACGGAGACACATATCGCCGATCAATACCGCAGCAACTCAACTCACCGTTATGCATCGCATGAAAATGTTAAAAATAAGGACAAATATGAATCATATTGAAAACATATATCGCTACGAGTACGAAACATTTATTTATATATTAATTAATAATATTAATAATAATATTTTATCGAAGTTTCTATGATAACAACAATAGAAAAGTATTGATACGGGCCCAGCCCAGCCACTATATCGGACGTGATGTCATCATGTTAGTGAGTTGAGTGTAATGTTGAATAAAAACTGACAGACTTCTCTGAAAATCGACCGAATACTTAATTCAGCTCGACGGATGTAAGAAGAAGCGACATCGTTGCTCGTTTATTGAGCCTCTTGCGGTTCCTCCTGGATCCTTTTGACTGGCCGTTGCAATCGACAGTTGGTATGCTGTAAGGAGTCAAGGCGTCTGAGTCCTCCTTCGGTACTATTGCACTGATTTTTTTAAGATCGAACCTCTACAGCCCTCGTCCACGTTGTTTAACTTTTTATTCCGGCTTTTCGCTCGGTTAATTCGTCACGTTTTGCAAACGAATCGGTTTGAACGGACGCTTGAACAGCTGCAAATTTCATTTCGGACTTTCTCGATTTCATTGTAGACGGGGTGGACATTATCGAGTCATTGTTGTTCTGCGACATTTTCGTGGCAAATCGTTGCTCGTTTGTGCTTAAAATTACAACCGGATTCTTTCGTGATTTTTTCATCTTGGTGAAGCACTTGGATATTTTCTGTTGGCCGTTGTTCCCTTCAGGCATGTCTTTGGAAGCTTAAAAATAATAGTGATAACAGTGGTTAAATTTGATCTTGAATTGATACAGGATTAGGGGATAGTTCTCGTATGATTTGGTGATTAAATTAAATCCGTTAATATACTCACTGTTAGAAGCATTGTCCGGTCTGTCTGTAATAATCGAATCAGAGTCATTATTCTCGTCATCCACCGCAATAGACTCGAAACGGTTAACAGAGATATAAGTTTTTTTATCTATAACCACGGGCATTTGAAATTTGATCGATTGAACATTAATGTAATTTCGCTTCACTGCAGATTTGGTCTTTATTTCGTCTAGATTCAAAACGACTGCAATAAAAAACAGTTATTCTATGTAGATACACAATTTTTATTGTTCCATACATCTGTACAATTTTTAATACATTTTACCTTTTGGTATATTTTTCACGGATTGTATTTCCATCATTGGATTTTCCGCTATCTTCTTCCTTGAAACTATTTCATTACCATGGTTGGATTTAATATAACTTGTGTTGCCATTGATTCTAAGGGTTGTATTCGTTTTTTCGTCGGTGTGTTTCCGCACGTTCTTTAAGCTTGTTGGCGTTCTCGACGCCGTTAACATTTTACCAGCATTCAACTCTCCATCCCGATTCGTTGACGTACTTTGAGGTTTTTTCACGGATTTTCTTACTGAAAACTTTCTTCGTGCTGTGGATTTCGTCCGTTCGCCCAGGACTCGAATCTTCGAGCTTTTTGACTACTCCCTGTGACTTTATCGGAGACTTCTGCTGTTTTCACTGTCATATTCTTGCAATTTATGGGTACGGATATGACTTTCGGAAGATAGTCGTCTTCGATCTCATCGTTGAACTTAGAGCGTGTTTCAACAATCTGGAACTCCGTCCTGGTCCACGGGACACGTTTAATGATAAACGATTGGGTAAACATGAGCGGCAAATCTTTCCCGGGACGCATTAATTCGCAGACCGAGGAAACCGCGAACTCCTCCGGGTGCGGTCTGGCTGAGGTGTCCACCGAGCGAACGATCACCGTGCATTTACCGTATTCCATTCGCTTTATAAACCATCCGATCAGACGCATGCCGTACATCTCATGATCAGGATGTCCGTATTGCGCGAATACGTAGACAGATTGTTAATCTTAAAATTGTTAAATTTCGTATCAGCGCGAGTCGCTCGTGTCGTATCCGACACCGACGGGAAACCGCGGGTGACTCGGCGAGTAAAAATAATCGTCGCGCTTTACGATTAAATACCTCATACACGATTCGCAAAGTAGTACGATCGACGTTTACAGTCCTGTGTGACCGGCTTTATGTTAATATTATCGGTGTGGAAACGGTGTACGAATGCGTGATTCTCGTCGGCGAAACGATTTCCAACGGCCCAGTGCGTAACGATGATGCCGACCGTCGACCAAACATCGGTTCGCACGATCGGATCGCGTTTTGGGATCCGGCGGTCGTTTCGCCGAACGTTTAATCGAGTTGGGCTGCGCGGTCACAGTGGCACCGACGTCCGTGAAACTCGCCCGATCATTTTCAATAAAGTCAATATTGCGCGAGTGGTCTCAGTGCCTCCGGCCGCATTGGCCGATTGCACCGACGTCGGATTTCCATCGGACGGAATGCGTTTAACAGATTTCTCACCAACTCTCGGTCGACTTTGCCCGCGGACGTGTTATTACGGTTCCCGAAAAATACCATAGCGGTCGATGCAGAAAAACTTGTATTGCAATACGTCACACTTCGCACAACAGAAACGTCAACGGTTGAAATGTTATTATTGTAGTGTTGATGGTGCAACAAATCGCTGAACATCGACTGGATGTACTGGATAGTCGATCGTTTTAAGAGTTTTAAGATACGTTTTTAAAAAAAAATCGACTCCAACGCGTTCGAACGGTTGTGTTTTCGGCTTGTTGAATCGCGTCGATGACTATCACTTAGTGGTATTACGTTGGCTTGAATCGTATTGTATTTCAAAGCAGCTTACACGGTAACGGAAACACGTAAGACGCGTATCCATGCTTTGTTGATGGCAATAATAAAAAAACGTTTGGATAAATCGGAACAGTTGATTTTATTCAGTAGCTAAATTTAAAATTGCATTATGTACATTTTAACCAGATTGGTGATATTTATATTTTTAACAACGGTGGTGGTGGCAAAAAAAAACTTCAAGACGATGGGAAAACACCCGATAATTCAAATGATCCGATCCCGGACAAATATCCGTTCCTGGTGGGTGTGATTTCGAGCAAACACACCGAAGACCAAATCGTCTGCACCGGAACGCTTATATCATTGAATTTCGTGTTGACGTCGGCGTACTGCGCGTTAAGCCTGCAGCCGAAAATCCAGGTAAGCGCGCAAAAGCGCCCGTAAACAATAACTTCGATGAAGGTAAAGAGAACATGGGTCCGAGGAGTTATGGGGTAGCGGCGTTGGGACTCGTCTGGATAAACTCTCCGTCTGCGTACGGCAAAAGAAATTATAAATCCGTACGGTCGGTCCGTTTCATCGACAGTGCCGAATGCGTAACTCTTAAACGATCCCTTTGGGCTACGTCCGACGTACGTGGTTGACTCCGTTAACAGCGCTTTTTCGAGGGTCCGCGGGATCGCAGCGATACGGTGTAGGACGCGCGCGTAGGGCACTTCGTCAACCGCGTTCGCCCGCGTGAGAATCGCAGCTAACCGCCGTGGCACACGCGTTTTTCAGTTGTACCACAAGTCGTCGACGGCCGCGCTCCAGTACCGGTTGGCGGAAAGCGTACACTTGCATCCGGAGTACAACGACGCGCTGCGCACGAACGACTTGTTCCTGATCAAGGTAAGCGAACCGACCCCTCGGGGTCGTCCCGTACTACCCCGTGCTACGGTGTGATATTTCCGTCCGTTTGTTGTTTGTCGAGTTCAGTTGACGGAGCCGTTCGCCGGCGTCAGCGTTTTCGCGAGGCTCTCGTCGCACCTGTTCAAGCGTGAAGAAACGCGGCTGAACTGTGTGGTGGCCGGCATCGGAAAGCCGCAGGGTCGCGGTTACCAGATGACCGTCCGCGCCAAGTACGGCCCCACCGCTTGCCAGGGACCGAAATCCATGTGAGCCCTATTCAGTAATCAGTAATCTCGATCGATCGCGATACGACGGCTGGTGGTGTGAACCGCGTGAAACGGTCTTTATCCTCCCCCTTGCCGGATAAGTTACCGGTGACCAACGATGAACACGAACGCGATAATCATTGCAGAACGAAAAAAAAAAATCTCTAAATACTATATACCAAAAATATATATCTGGCGACGACATCGTTTGTAATCGTTATGTTTCACTCACAGTTCCACCCTGAAGTACATCATTAACTTCACGTGGCGCGATTTCATGTGCGCGAAGATTGTCAAATGGGAGACGACGTCGGAGCAACCGTGCGACAACGGTGACGCGCTCTTGTGCCACGGAAACCTGCAGTACGGCATCTTCAGCTACGGGTACCGCATGAAGGGCACGTCCATGGAGGCACCGGGCACCCAGTCGTCCATGTGCCGGAATCCGAGCGTCCAAGGCAGGTACCTGTTCATCAACAGCCGCGTTGGCTGGATCAAGGACATGGTGTCCAGGAACACGACGAAACAGGATCGCAGGTACGCGGACGGCGGCCAACAGTCGCCGCAAGATGGCAGGAACGTGGACGGCGGCCAGCTGCCGACGAACGTGTCGGAAGTGACCGAGTCCTATTCGCTGCCATTAAATCCGATGAGCGCTCAGACCAAGGAAAACGTCTTCCAGTCCTCGAACCCCCACACTTACCCATACTTGGTGTACTTGACCGGCCGTTCCGGCGAACCCGAGTGCGGCGGCACGTTGGTGACTAGCGTGCACGTGCTCTCGTCAGCCTACTGCACGGCCAGGTTGTCTGCAATAAAGGTAAACGGACAGGGATTGTTCTACGATGTAGAACGTTTTGATGGTTGTTTTTATTCTGTTCGTCCCGTGCGCGTATTACCTACCCTGAGTTTGTCGGGCCCGAGGTGCACGCGAATTCTACCGCCGCGACGCTACAGTATTTTAATGCTGACGCAGATGGTGCACTCTTGGACCGTCATGAAACCTCCACTCCGGTTCCGCCAAGAATCTCCGTTACAAGAATATTGTATCCAAGCTGCTACAGTAAAATCAACCATAATTTCTAACACGGGAAACAGCTAATCCATCGATTACTCTCGCAATTTCAGTGGCTTCCGTGTCACCACCGATGTATGTTGATTTGCGTATCACCTGCGAATGCTTTTTTTTGCACCGCGTTCCGTCGCGTTATCCCGACGATAGGACTGTCCCGTACCGAACTTTTCGTTTCAACAGGCTTGTACGCGTTGGGAATCGTTCGCATTCTCGGTTGGAAAAAAATGTTGCACGTTTCGAACATTGAATATATTTTGTAATCGTATGTTTTCGCAGGCGACCGTGGCTAACAACGAAAAACAATACTCGAGAGGGATCCGCGTTTACGTGCATCCACACTTCGACATGCGTACTCTGGTCGCGGACATCAGCGTAACCGTTGTAAATAGCTTTTCCGTTTCACTCTTATTGCGAATAATGTGTTTCCGTCGTTTTTCGTCCATCGGTACGGTTGACGTATTGTAGCGATAATGTATTGATGAAAAACGTTGTGTAATTCGGCGCGCAGTCCAATCAAGACCGATCACGCCGGTTTCCATGATTTATTTCCTCGATTTCCGTGCATTTCGAATTTCAACGCAACGGCAAGTGCCGAATGTTTTATAATTTTTTGTTCGAAACGAAAATTTAATTTAGTGTTCAGAATACTGGCCCGGATCAACGATCTCCCCACTGCACTTCGTACCGATAGTGATTAGGTTTTAACAGAATCCTTATCGCTTATCAGTATTCATCAATCGTACCCGACGGCGAAAAAACGTTGCGGAACACTCCGTTTCTACAAAACCCGTACAAACAACATTGTGTACTAATAACCCTGTACACGAAACAGCTAAGCACACCGTTGATCGTACCGGAATACGCACGGTTTTCGATTGATTACGAACCGTCGGAGGCCAACGGCACCGTGGAGCACAGTTGCATTGTACTGTCGAAGCGACTCCACACGGATTTTCGGTCCACGCTGATCAAGATCAAGAACGGACCCAAGGCTTGCCTGGAGACCGAATCGTATGTAAACCGTATTGGTTATTGATCGTTTCAACAGAACAGGCGTGTGTCAAAGTAACATCTGCTTCATCATTATCGTTGTCGATCCGTTTTTAAAACGTTTTGTTTTTCGGCTTGACCACGTTAAGCTTGTAAAATTCAGCGTAACTTGGCCGAATCGATACGCTTAGCGATATCGTACGCGTTACCGCAGTGACGTAATAATGCAAAAATCGTATGTTTTATTTCACCTTTAAAACGAAAATTTCCCGTTAAACTTTTTGAAAGATTTTGCCTGACTGTACAATTAACGACGAAATTATGAACATAGGAAGTTACTAGGGAATAAATAAAGGAAATTTCTTGTAGAGAAATTATCGATTAATTCGCCAGCCTTGAAGCGAGAATATCGAATTTTCAAAGTTTAAAACTTGCACGTCGATAATAATAACTTGTATATCTAAATGAATCAGTAAAATTAAAGGTCGACAAAAACATCATCGAATCGAATTTGAATCGGCCAAAAGGCGTTTTCTGCTAGGTTTGCCTGGAACAAATGAGCAAATGAGCAAATGAGCGTTCCTACGCCACTGTTCGTTCGCATCGAACTCTTAAACTTCTAACGCGGTACGACGATCGAACGACCGCAAATAACGCAAATTACCTTTGTGCCGACAGCTCGACCGTTCAGAAGACCGTCAGCAGTACTTGGCGCGAGTTCAGCTGCGGAACGGCCGACACTCGACCCGCGGCCAACATTGGCGACCCGTTGTTCTGCAACGGGATCCAGTACGGCATAACCAGTCATACGTACCCGTTGCAGCGGAAGGCCGACAAACAGGAGGTGCGGTACTTGGTCGTTGACAAGTACGGCAAGTGGATCGATCAAATAGTAAAGTCCTCCAAACGGTCGAGCGCTGAAAAACTACGAGCGGGTCCAGCGCTCGCGATTCTTGCCGCCGCCTTGTTGCGGATCGCGTCACGAATCCCATAGTCGGTCACCCATCCGTACGAATATCACTGTTTTTTTTCTCTCTCGCTCCGTTTTGTCCTTCACGCTAAACGTTTAACGAGTACGTTGAAATTGATGTGCGCGTTCGCCGGATCCGTA